CATGTTCCTGTGAGCTTCTGAAAATGTCCGTAATTTGTAAAGTCAGCATCATTACCAACACTTGGTATTTTTAATCTTTTTTTTTTTCCATTTTGAGAAGGGCATACCTTGAAAATGACTGCAAGAAGGACAAAGAGATGCATAGAACTACCTTGCTTTAATCATTTAGGGACTGTCTTTTTGTCAAGTTAGAGGTGAAATAAGTATATTATTATTTCTCAGCTGACATTGAGAAGGTGGAAGCAGCAATGCAAGCAGAGTCCCATTTCCACATTTTGAAGTAAAGAGGCAATCTTGCATCGTGGATGAATTTATTCCTTTACAGATGGTAGGCAAGTTTATTCATGAATTATTGTTGTTCATATATGTCAGCATCCAGAGATGTTCAGTTATAAATGCAGGTTAGAGGTGTACTTTAATAGCTCGAGATGTGGCCTCTCTAAACTCTTTGGCAGGTTTGTTAAAGTAAATATAAAGCTTTTATCTCTCAGAATTTCAGAGGTCATATTAACCCTTTGCTTGCATGTTTGTCAGATGAAAAGCTGCTTGAATGATTTGATTTTTTTTTTTTTAATTGTCTTTGAAATACTGACAGTGCTACATATAGAGCAAACAAAACCAGCTTCCAGGCACCACAAACTTATGTGATGCATCTAGCATTTGCAAGACACTTGTCTGAGCTGCTGCTCATTGCTTGCAGTTTCCACTAAAGAGCCTATTAGCAATGACTGGCATACAAGGCCACTTTTAGAAATAAGAACCTTGCTTGTCTAGGAGGGTATGCCAGATATATGTACATTGTGGCTGCTGTGAGTTACGTAAGTCAGTTTGATAAAACACACAGACAGCTGTAAAGCTGGCTAAAGCTACCTGTGTATCATGAGTATGGAAGACTCACTATTTGTGAGTGCTTTGAACAGTTTCCTGCAAAAAGCCATTTTCTAAGAAACAGTATCACTCTTGATGAATGGGAAAATTTTACAGACTTACCATTCTGCTTTCTTCCCATGCCTCCTTTGCTATTTATACAGGCCATATATAATGTATACTGCTATAAAAGTCAGGTGTGCATGTGATTTGGGGCTGGCACAGGGCTGGAGAAAGCAGCCAGGCTCTGTGTTCCAACACCTGCATGGCATTTCCTTCTACTGAGGGTCAAAACACTGGGCTAGATGTGCCACTGGTGTGATGCAGCAGGGCTTTTCTGATGTTTGTATGCTAGTTTGATCCTACAAAATCTGACTTAAAAAGCAATCTTCTCTCATATAAATAGCTTTGAGCACTCAGGCAATATATGGTTCTTTAGCTGAGCATAAGAGACACGTCTTCAATAGAACAAAATGGGTCACAGTCATTTTTCTGAGTCTTTCATTTGACTGATCCACATGAAGGTGATTCTGCTTCACTGGATTTAACCAGGAAGCCTGCTGTTGTGTGCCAACTACTTTGTCAGTCATTTTTAAAGCTTATCATACCAAGATAGTCTATGCAAAAATGACACTTTTTTTTTTTTCGAAAACTAGAGAGAAATAGCAGCATAATTTAATGTAAATAAGAAAGGATTTTAGCAGCAGGTAACCAGTTAAACTTGTTCCACCCTCATGTCAAATTGGGCATCTGGTATAAAAAGAAATTTTTTGATGAAGAGTAGAAGGCTGTTAGGCCATGGGGAAAAAAAAAAAATCTCTTCATGAATTCAGTGCTTCCATGTTGGGATTTAGTAGCAGAGGAGTTTAAGATCAAACTGGCTCACATGATGCAGATCAAAGTAGCTTTAAAAAAAAAAAAAAAAAAAAAAATAGAAATCATTTCTGAACTCTCCTTTCAGAATATACTTCATACAAAAAGTTCTGGATGAGATTCTATGGTCAGAAACTCAAGCAGCTTCTGATGATTGCAAATCCAGTCAAGGTTTTTGAAAGAGAGTTTAGGTTCCTATATACATGTCTCTGTGCTTGAGTGGATGCAGCATGACAAATGTCGGCCCAAAAAAATTATGAAATAGCTGAAATAAAGGACAGTGAAAACTAGTGTTACACTGTGGGGCAAAATTCCAGTTGAACCACAGTAAAACATCATCATCATTGGAGAAGTCATTACAATATGATAATTAATGTACGCATGAAACACAACACAAAATTTTAGTATTCATGGGAAAAATACTTCAAAGAATTTCACCTTTTCTGAGTAATTCAGACCACCTCAGTCTGAGCTCTGTCTCTGGCATCCTTCTGCATAAAATGTATGTAAAATAGATATCTGAGGCTCACATACTTCAGATCCTCACTGAAAGACCAGTGTTTGCTCAATGGCTAATCAGTGCTCAAGGTTGTATTCTGTTCACAAATAATCTCCCTGTTCTGTGAGCTGCTCTTCCAGTCTGTCACGTGAAACAGTTGGGACTAAAACTGCTGAAGCTAGATTGCACTGGTTCTGAAAATGTGGAAGAACAGAAAGGTAAACAGTATCTTAACACACAGCAATCTGGCAACTGGTAGTACATTAATTACTCTGCACCTCCTATATCTCCATTAAGTTCATTTATTCTTTTCAGAGAATGAATAACTAATATGAAGCCTTTTCTTGCTGGTTTTTGTCACACTACACAAAATGGTTTAAATGATTTATATGTGGAAGCTGCTATTAATAGCATTGAATGAGCTACTAATTGGATGGTTATATAATGGCATTTTTATAAAATCTAGTTTGTTTGTCACCTTTTGTTTTCTAAAAGTGACATAAAAACCTCAAACAAATCCATGGTTAGCAGTACATAGCACAAACCAAAGGCTAGCTAATTACTGATCTATCAAAAATCAAAGGTTAAAAAGAAGGAAATTCACTTACTTGAACTCTAGTAGAAATGAGCTGGAAGTGAATCACTCAACTGACCTGCTGTTCAAAGGCATTCTTTAAAGTATCTTTCTTTAATACTTGCCCCAGCAAATACTGACAAAGAATTCAAAGTGGGACTTGTGAAATCTCAGAAAGTTTTGCTATTGAAAAATGCCCTTTGAAAGAGATCTGGTATGTACAGAATTATAGTTTAAGAAGAAAGAACTAGCAGAAAGTATCTCTATGGCACATACTGATAAAAATTATATACTAGTATTAGGCATGGATCTGCACTTTTATTTTTAATAATAGTATAGATGTACCTATACAGCCTGATATTTTTAAAGTAACTTTTTTAAAAAAAAAAAAAGAGAGAGAAACAAATGAGTTTGCTATTTTATCCACATCTTTATGGAAGGCTGGAAAATTGGAGTCCATTAGGAGAAAACTTTTATCTGGATTGGCCCATTGCAGTCTGGGTTGTTCTGAAGACTGTAGCATCACTGATGCAATGTACTGCACCAGGACATCCTTGCTGATGAAACCAACTACTGGCTGCTTGCTGTGAGGATATTTTCCTTTTGATAATCAAACATAGCAACATACAAAGACCATGAGAAGAAGGAAAAACATTATCCTGCAATTTTGTAGTTATATGTATGTAATAGTTACACAGATGAAAATTTGTGGTCAATGCTACATGTTTGTAATGCCTCTTAGTTTAATTTTTGACCATGAAATTACCTCTCAACACGCACTGTCCCAGCTCTTGTTATTGGATCAGTGTTATCTATAATCTTTTGTTGCTGAGGTAACTCAAGGTTGTCTTTCCAGAACTGCTTCCTTAGTGAATCAGCCTGAGATGCTTTCATAAGCAAAGGAGCATTTCTCATGTCTGTCTGTGAATACGTGTCTTTATATATTTGCAGAGAAATACACTAAGTTGCTTCCAACTGAGTCACTTCTTAAATTTTAGGAAATTATAAAAGCAGTAGTAGCAATATGGGAGGAAAGACAGATGTTGCAGTGGCATGATGTGCATGTGAAGGGATTTAGCCCCTGAAACAGGCAGTGGGTACAGGAGCATGCCCTGTGTTTCAGGAGACAGGGTACAGCCAATGTACAGCTAGATATCTATATGCCATCATGTGGATTGCCTCTGTCATCTGCAGCAGTTGCAGGTAGGACCTTCTAGGTTATGCTCTTTTTCATTGCTTTCCAGCCATCCAGAGATGCTTAACTGAGCCATGCTGACTCCATCTTACTATCAGCTCAGTGTCATTTTTTTATTGCCTGAGTGATAATATCCAGAACATGTAAGGAGGAGTTTACATATATAAAGGAAAACTTTAATTCCTGGATTGTTAAAGCACCCAGAGGAAGTAGTGAAAGGGCTTACAGAGATCCTATCTGATTGACAGTGTACCAGCACTGATGTAATCATGGCACCATGCCTAAAAAGCTGTGATAACTTAGGAATCAGTGGCTGTACAAAAGAACAAGACATTATAGAAACCGAACAAGAATTTGGGTGGTCCAGATGTCTTCCACGTATATTCTGCCAGTTATCAACAACCAGAATCTCTTCTCCAGACTATTAAGCAGAATATTTTGAAATCTCAGAGTGGCAAATAATACCAAAATCTTCGGTAACAATGTATCAGCAAGTTTTCCCACTCCTATGCATCAGAAGAAGTACATTCCTTTTTAAATGCATTTTTTTTTTTTCAGAGATAGACAAACTACACTGTGTTGTTAATACTCCTTTCCAATTTCACTTGTGTGAGAAGGTTTAGAGCAGCTCCTCAAAGTAGTAATGCTGTGGCGTTTCTGTTTTGGTAGTACCAAACGGTTCAAACAGAATACAGACAGATCCTGTCACCCATTTCAGCATAACAGAGTTCATCAGGCAGACAACATTCATCTACAATGCTATGATTTCTCAATTCTCAGTAGTCTTGGATTTATAGTGGTTTATATTTATACTCTCAAAATACTTTAAAAACTTTTAAAATAATTAAAATACTGTCCAAGTATTTTCATTCTATCTGTTTAAAATACCTCAAATATTTGTCAGCTACCTTTAAATGGTGTTGAAAATTGGGGATTTAATTCCTATATTTGATGTCACCTTTTTTTTTTTTTTCCCCTCTGAAATAGGGTGGTTTTCCACTCTGTACTGCCAACTTTCTCCAAGATTGATGTCACCTGCACCTAATGACAATGAGAGTACATCTAGCTACAAGCAGTTCTCTGTATAACCTGCTGATCAGTGTTTTTCCTGTGGTATGACAGGCTAAGCTCTCCTGTTGGTAAGTGTGTATAGTTATTGTCTACTGATCTCTATCACCATTTTCTGCAGAGCTTATATACTTCATTTCCTCTGCTGGTTCATATTTTAATTGATTCTGAAATGTAATGCTAATTCATGAGAGGAAAAAAGTGAGAACTAGGACCTCTGGACAAGGAATTTTCACTGATAATTCTGTAGCCAGCCTACTTGTTTGCATGTAGAAGTAGGTTATGTGTTTGTGAGATCATTTTGATGATATTTTGGGAACCCATCTAACAAAGCTTAAAAAAAAATTCACAACACCCTGTTCCTAGGCCTTCTGGTATTGTTATAAAAAGGAAGAAACTCTTAGCAAGGTTGTGAATACAGTGACTTAAGGCTATGAGGGAGAAGCCTTCCAGGCTGATAAAGCTATTTAGGTGCTTTTTTCTTCCTTGTGGTACATGGTCTAGGAAGGAGGAACCACAGATGAAAATTAAGAGCTGAAAGAAAGATTGTTTTCCAATGGAGAAATTAAGAAACTACTTCTCTGTAGGATATCATCCAGGAAATAGATTTTTTTTTTGTTTTCTTTTAGATTTTTCCAGGTCTTTTTTTTTTTTTTTTTAACAAATGAAAAGACTTCCCCAAAATTCTGAATGAGAAAGATTTGCCAGATAGCAATTTGCCAATTGCATGATTTGTCAAATCATGAGAAAGCACACCTACATCTTGTATCAGCTGGAAGATGGGGTCTGGAATGTTCATATATCTCCATTCACCCAGCTCCAGCTGAGCGTGAGCTATGAGAATGGGGCCTGCTCCTCTCCAGGCTGGTGCCAAAGGAAGGGAAAAAGCTGATCTCAAACTATGAAGCTCCTGCAGTAAAGACTGTGACTATTGTTGCTCTTTTTGGTGCTCTTCTATGAAGGTGTGGTAACATGTTGAGAAGAAAAAAGAAGCAGATAAAAAAAAAAAAAAAAAAAGCTGAATAATTCTAGTGATCAATGCAAAGTCTGTATTTACAGACAAAATGACTAGTAAAGGTATGCATAAAGCCTAAGTGAAAATACTGCATTTGTCTAATCATTAGCTGGGGGATGAATCACTCTATATTTCATAATAATTGCTAAAGAAATATTTACTTGAGCCAAAGCTTAAATATCATTAAGGAGATGAATTAATTCAGCAGGTTTCTGTGCTCTCAATTGGCTATCAGTTTTGCTTGAAATAAACTGATGGCAACGCATCCATCATATTCCACAGTTCCAAGAGAAAAACTTGACCTCTAATGTGAAAAGTTCCTGCTGGTTTGTGCAATCTATTTGGTGCTAATACATTGAAAGAGAGATAGTGCTGTAATCCTGATAAAGCCTCAGGCTGAGTTAAAGAGTTTTCCTGTGATACAGTGCTTTTGAAAGCAGTTTGCAACAACTCTGCGGGAATCTCCAAAACAGGGGCTGGCAGTCCCACCCAGACCCAGCCCGCTGCAGGCTCTGATCTTCTCAGGTTGCACTGTGCACATATGTGCCCTCAGAGAGCTGTAGGAGCTAATTATTTAGTATTTACTCTTTCTAAAAGGTGTCCAGTAAAGCTAACCTGTTAATTCTAATTGTAAAGGAGGCTTACGTGTGCCATTCCCTTCTGTCTGATGGGAGTGATGCTGAGTTCACTCCTGCTTTTATTCCACTTGGTGAAGCACCATTACATAAAGGTTGCTTCAGTAGCTGTCAGCATAGACTATATTTGGGTGACTGTAGCAGAAAGGCCTGCCCTCCTTCCCTTTCTCTGTAAGCCATCCAGTTGCTCATCCCTTACTCTGAATATATTCTGAATAATGATGATGAGCAAAATAATCACTGAAATTGTTGGTTTTGCCCCACACCTGAAAATGCTCTTATTTGGTCAGATGTCTCACTGTGAAATTTCTCTCTGTGTTGCAAGCAAAGGAATGCTGCAGGGCTGGGCTGCTGAAAACAGTTGCCCTGAAGTGACCCAGTGGAAGCAATAGGCATCACTGGACACAATAGGTTCAAGGTATGGCTGGAGAGAAGGAAGGAAGTAAAGTTAAGTTAAAGGACTGATGGGATCATCTTTAATTTGCTTTGTAAACAGAGAACAGGAAAGATCATTACAGTAGTCTGTTGTACCATGTAAGCAGGGAGAACAAATATCATGTTACATACAACTGATATGTTGTGGTCACATTGCCAGCTGCACCCTTATCAAGATCACTACAACAGTAGCTGTTCTGTGGAGCTGGAGATAACACGGTAAGGAAATGTTGGGAACTGCTGGCACTCTTGCAAATGAGTGTAACAAAAGCAAAAGGAAAGAAAAGGAGTTTCTTGTGCTACTGATTTACATTTTGCAGAATAACTCTATTGGAAAAGGAAACCAAAACTTCCCTTATTCAAATAGTTTTGTTCCAGTGAACTATTTTTAATTCAGGAATCTCTTTTACTTTACATTTTTTGGCCAGTAAGTGTCTATTTGTTGCTCTGAGTATTCTGAAGTGTGCTGATTGCAATGTGAACAGAGGTAGGAAATAGCATTCTGACAAAGTGTGAAGGCCAGCTGCTTGGAATCTGTACATACCATTACTCTTATTCATTTTTCTCTTACTGTTAGCACTCCCTGCTGACTAGGTCGCTAAACCAGTTACTCCGTTCCTCCTCAGTTTGTTTTTTAAAACCTTGTTTTTCTCAAAAGTCTCTCTTCCCAGACAACACTGTCTCAACACTTGCCTATGCACTGATTGTTTCAAGATCCTCCCTGTTTCTGACCACAACTTTTCTCCCCTCTTCTGTTCAGCCTGCCCAAACTATTGCCCTGAAAATATTTTCCATTTTTCATCTCTCTGAGAATGTTGCCCTGCTTCTGAAACCTCAACATTGACCTATTTCTACCCTAAAATTCAAATGTGTTTCTTTTCTCAGCTCTGAATATCTTCATTGCTAGTTGAATCTGATCTCATCTCCTGTTGGAAAGCCAGTCAGTCACCAATGTTGGGAGTCTCTTTGTGGGGGAGCAGGGTGTACAGTAACTGATTTCCTTCTCTAACTTTCTCTATCAGCAGAGTGCTCTGAATTTAAATGTACCGCAGATGAAATTACTCCAGTCACCTCCCTGGTTTGTTTTGGAAGTGCCTGCATGTATTTATAAAACAATCACCAGAAAACATTAAGATTCAGCCCTATGTAATCAACTACATACAATTTCCACCAAATGAAATGGAGTGCCTTTGAACTTTACTGTGTCTTTGAATCTCCTCTGTCTGTGGTTAGCCCAGCCAAGGGGGATTAATGGCAGTGATACCAACAGGCATTTACTCTGGTGACGTAAGAATGAGTGAAGCACATCATCTCCTTACTGTTCCTTTCCACTCTTTTCCTGTTCTAGGTCTTACCGAGATGAAACACTGGATTCATAAGATCAATGCATGACACGGTGAGTTTGTAGTATTTTGAAGTTGCCTGTAATTTCTATTGCCTGTTTAACACAGACTGTTTAATGCATGGGGAACACAACAGAGCAGTGAATGTGATCCCTGTGTTTTGTATTGGAATTATATACCTGTGAGCTTTTATGGAATATGTCAACAGAATGCAATTAATTTATAATCGTGGTGATACTGAGGTTGTCATAATCCACTTTACCAGATGCATATATTTCTCTTGAATTTAGATCACAAGATAATGTGACAATTAGGCCTCTTACCACACCAGAAAAAAAAAAAAATGCACACGTTCTTCAGATTCAATCACAACCAAACCAAAAGTAACATCCTCCCTGGAAACTCTGGAGGCAGTTATACTTTTCCTTCTTGAGTCCCACCAGTGAGCCTCAAGGCTGGTGCTGAAATTTCCAGAAACATTTGGAAAGTAACCACAGAAATAAATCCAACAAACAAACCCCAGAAGAGCAGTAACAGAAGCTACAGAAGCACACTGGAGCCAGCACCCACTCATCATCATGGCTTGTCTCTGCTCCCACAGCTTCCACCACACGTGCTACCTCCAGCACAACATCTCCAAAACTGCTGGGCTTTCTGCTCACACTTTGGAGTCCTGAGGCCTCCTGCAGCTCTGCTAGGTTAAGTTGCGATTAACCTAAAGCAGTGGGTGTCACTGGAATGATTGATCTTCTTGTATCTGTCATAACTATCTTCCCTGAAGTGGTTTCATTGCTTGAATCAGTGACCTGAGCACTATCACTCATAGCCTTATATAGAAAATCTATAGCCTTTTTCAGACAAGACTTCATCAGGCATTTTCCAAAACTGGGGCTTCTGGGATCTGATTAGATTAATTTTGTTGTTTCTTTTCCTTTACCTTTCCTTGGAGGTGCTTTGCAACTGGATGCATCTCCCCAGCATCTTACTCACAACTTCTACTTGGATACCTCTTTCCCACTCTTTCTCAAAGAAAACTGGGGAGAAATTTAATAAGGCCACAATCCATGGCTACTTCAGATAAATTTGTAACAGATATTTCTATATTTATGTATGTTTCAGACCAGAGTATTTTTTTGTTAATGCTGGAAACTTTGAGCAAAGGCAGTCTGAAAGTTATAATGCATAAACTATGTTAGTCATCTGATTGGGATGAAAATTCAGGCCACTTTAGTAGCATCTTGGAACCATTCAGATTTAATTATGGACATTAAGATCAATGTGTGTGTTTGTTTGATATATGAAATTTTTTCTTTTTGTGCTTATCTGTTCCTCACTGTACCCTCTAATCATAACATAATAGTGTGCATGTGTGTTGACACCCTGATCTATAGTTATTGACAGCATTTCAGCTCCTGGATCTTGTATGTAGCAAATAAGTGTAGGCAGTTTACAGTCTAGTGAGGTCTTGAATAACTCAGTCCAAGTGCTTTTGTGGCTGTGATGCTCTGAAAAGAAGTCAGTCTGGAGAAATGATTTCTGTCTTCCTGCTACGAAATACTTTTGAAGTTCAGCAGTAATCTTATCAACATGGCTGGTTAAAATTATTGACAGCCTAACGCATCAAAGCTTTATCTCAACAGTGCTCACCAGGAGATCCACTGAAAACAGGGAAAGAAAACCCCTTTTACCTTTAGTAGGTACTGGGATACGCCCTTACTCAATTCAAAGGGAAATGGTGATTTGCCTGCAGAGAAAGGTAACTAATAGCAAAACCAGTAATAAACCAGCTGCTAAATGACTGTTTTGAGAAGTATCCCTTCCTCTTTTTCAAAAAAACACATTGCAGCTGTGCAGTAAAATTCCTAAGTATTACAGCCTGTAATAACTTTACTGAAACATTGAAACAATCTGAAGCCTTTCTGTAAATCACTGGTCTTTTTGAGCTGGATTTACCATGATACTGCTTCTGGCAGTAGTATTTGCTGACTTTGTCACTGGATCTGAATTCCTGGCTTGGCACCCTACTGATAAGGTCTCAGTCATTAAGTGCATTATACAGCAACCTTCTGCATTCCTGTCTCTATTTTGCTCTCTTCTGTGTTTCACTCTTCCTTTCTGACTTCCAGTCCTTACTCAATTGAGTAATTCAACCACAGACTGCAGCAGTTCCTTATCCTTTTTTATTTTATTTTATTTGCTAGCAGTTCATAAATACTCAGCTCAAAATTGAAGTGACTTAAAGAGAAACAAACTTCTTCATAAATATTATTTTATTATTCTCAGTTAAAAATACCCTCAAATGAAGGTAAAAAAAATACTATTCAAAGTTCTGGGATGAAACTTGTATCTCATTAGAACTTTTCTTTCCTTTCCACTGCAGACAAATTAAAAATTTCATTTTTGCTAGGCCTGTATTTTTGTTCTTGCCACCAAAAAAATATATATAATTTTTTTTTCACCTAGTTGTCCCTGTGGTGCTGCTAGAGGTAGGAGGCAAATGGCCTGCAGTGTCTCCTAGACTGTCAGGAGTAATTCTTTTTTAGTCCAGAGAGAGGACTTGGTTCCCTGCATAACAAGAGCATGACAGAATCTCTGAGATATCAAATCAGTTATTCTGCCAACATCTTTATGCTTCACTGAAGAGTAAATTAATCCTACATAGGAGATCTCCAGCAGGAGACTAAGAGAGAGCACACACATTGCCATAGTTGAGTACTAAGGTGCTTGTCGAGAGTGTAAATAATGGATAAATAATTAATTTTCTTTGGGGAACCTTCAAGCACTTCTCTGAGTGCTTATGAACACATGGTGGAACAAGTGCAGCAAGGGATTGAGCAAGAGAGCTTCCCCGTGGGAAGAAACCATGCCCTAAGTCAGACCTCTCAGCGGCTCCATCTCGGCTCTTTCCAACTTGGTGGAGACCTGGGGTGGCTGCAGCTGGCCCCAATTTCTGGAAGTGGCAGCTGGGGTCTCAACCAGAAGGTGCTTGGGAGCTGCTCCTGCAGAAAGCACAAAGACACACCTTGGACGACAATCAGTCCTTGGAAATGAAAGCATGTGGGCTACATTGAGTGATTCTGCCATACTGACCAGGTGATGCTACTGGAGTTACTACCCGCCGAAATCTTTATTTAGAAAAGCAAAAGCTCCAATGAGGAAACAAAAGAGGTCCAAAAAATGGCACAACAGATAACTTAGTGCTGACCTGACATCTGTTGCCTCCAGTTCACTTTGGTCTGCTGGAGTTGAGGCCACTCATGGCAGGCAGAGCAGCTGTGTCCCTGTTGCTGCATGCCTCCTGTTCCAAATTAGTATTTCTGCAGCAATATGTAAAAGCATCGAGGTCTATCAATTACAAAACAATTTCCTGTGCAAACTCCTATTAGAGAGCCATTACAGAAAGGTTAGCCTTGACTTTGAGCTGAAGCCCCCAGGTGGAGCCTTTTGGGAAGAAACTGCTCTTTCTTTCCGTGGGGAACTTTCCCCTTCTGCTACCTCAGAGCATATCTTCCCAGCACTGTCTGCAGTTAGTCATGGAGAAAGCGTGGATCATTTCATACCCAAAGGTGAAAAGGCAGAAGTGCACCCCTTTCAGACTCAGCAGTCACAGTATGTTAATAGTCAGCTAATGGAGTGTCAAACCATTACAGTGAACTACAAACCCAAATATCCTATCCTGTGTGATTTCTTACTGTTGATCCTCTTGTCTGTTCTTACACCTCTCCTTGTTCCTGTATATTTGTGTGATATTCTGATTAACCTCTCTCTATTTTTCCCACTGTCTTCATATATATTCATATTTCTATCCACTTTCACATTGATCATTTTTGTTCCTGACACCAATAACTGTTTGACCTTCTTTCAATTTCTCTTTACTTAGTTCTTTTTCTTAAAATAACATTTTCTGTCTCTGTTCCCTGTCCTCTTCCTTTGTTCCGTTTGCAATTCTCCATTCCTATTACAAAACTCATTTACTTTTACTCATTTCTCACTACACAAGCAGCAATGTAACTCCATCAGCCACAGCTCTGCTGCACTGATTTCCCCTTTCTATCTTCTGTCTAGCATCTTTCCCTTCCTCTCTCTCACGCAGCACTTTTCCTTTCTATTTTGCTTCTAGTTCAGAATCTCTCCTCTGACTTTCCCATTGTACTCTTACCCGCTGCTTCTCCCTGCTGATCGTGTTAGCAGAAATGTTGAAATTTGTTGTCTTGTTGCACAGATCTCAGCTTCCTTCATCCCCTCTGTGTTTGTTATGTCAAGCCCACCACTGCTGTCCTGGTCCAACCAGAGCTGGTTGTCAGGTGTTGCCCATGCAAGCCTCTCTAGAGCTGCACAAGACAGAGGGACTTTCATCATGCAGCTAAGGAGACCATTGCTCGCCAGTGAGTTCCGCCAATCTGGGTTCACATTTTGTATCAACAAGATTTGTATACTTTATTGATCAAATTACAGTTCATTGGCTTTATTGTCATATGCACCTGTAACTGCATCAGTGTTCGCAGTCACTCACCCTGGAGCAGTAAAGCTTTGCCACAGGAATACTTGAGAAGGACTAAGGGCTGCCATTCAAGACCATCTGGTACTAAACAGTATTTCTCTAAACCCATGGTTACCCAGGTATCAATCAAGGCTGTTTTCTATCTAGACCTCTGCTGTAAGTGGCCACTCAATTTGTCCATAAGCCAAATATACAGTATTCCTAGCAGAGCTCATAATGAGTGTACGTGAATGACCTTTCAAAAGCTCTCTGACTCCTTCAAAACCCAAGCAGAAAGTCTGTATTTGCGAGATCAGAAATAAAATGAAAACCTCACTTTGGCTGAATAAAAAAGCCATATACAGGAAAGCCCTTGATGAATAGCATGCTTTTAACAAAAATACCATTTCCTTTGCCACAAAAAATGTTGTTTTAGATTCTGAAATTAAGTGCTTGTTCCACTGGGCTGTAACATTTTGTTAAGCTGCAGAGACGTTAGAGGAACAGCTTTTCCGTTTCTTACAGACTTCAGCTATTTACAATTCTCTTTTAATATTTCTTTTTCTGGAGGAGAGAAACACATTCTAGGATTTTCTCTAAGCCTTTTTTGGTTCATTATGGAGGTCTGACTTTCTGCATCCACTAAAGCAACCACAGATGATCTACTTTTGCGGCCTTAGGGAAACCTGAACCTGGAGCCGGCTTTTAGAATTCACCGACAGGCCCAGGTCCTTGGCTGCCGTGGCGGAGGCTCTGCTCCTCTCAGAAAGCTTGGAGAATTTATGGAGGACTTAAGTAGCAGCTACAAATCACCGTTCTGTTTCAGCTCAAGAGTGAACTGCATTTAAGGGAGAATTGTTGTAACAAGAAGAAAACTTCCCAGCTCAAGTGTTTCCAAGCTATTCATCGTTCTCCTAGTATCTGTCCCCCTGGAAATTCTCCAAGTCCTCATGATACTGCTCTTGTAAACAATTATTTTCTTTCCTGAACTCCTGTAATAAAATTCATACTGGATATTGCTCTTAGGACTCCTTGGCTCCCTTTCAAATTTTTTTTTTTTTTTTTTCAGATTGGGAAGTGGAAGAGAAGGATTTTTTTTATTTTTTTTTTTTTTTTTTTGTCTGCTTAAGTTGTGCACCCTTTTAATATCATTACTAAACAGAATTCCAACAGAAAAAGAAAGTGAATGGACTTCGGTAATTTCTTCTGAACACTTTTTGATGGCACAGTCACAACAGATACTTTGGCCAAATGCCTGTTGTCAGGATATACTGTTAGAAAAAAATGAGACAGGATGGGGGAATACGCTTTATTTTTGAGTGCCTACAAATATATAGATCAGCAGCCTGCCGGACATGCCCCTGTAAATATGCACATCATCAGACAGCCCTGGGGCTTCAGTCCTGCTGATTGTGTTATTTATGGAGATTAACACAAAATTACGCATGACTTATATGTTGCAATTTTGTTCAAGGGTCTAAGAAATATCATAGAATCATAGAATCACAGAACGGCCTGCGTTGAAAATACACCTGTGTTCCTTATGCTATTTTGTGCATATTCCCTTCACTGATCTGACAGTAGTTCATTCATTTGCTGTTATAAACTGAGGCATGCCTCCATCTTTTTGTACCGGCATCCTGCACACAACTCTCCCCTAGAGAGGAATTGGAGAGTGAATGTTTGCTACTGGCTCCCCATTTTCACAGCCTTCCTCCACCGCTCCTTTACGCCATGAGCGCAGCCCATTTCTACATGATACAGCTGCCTTGCTAGGAGGAAAACTGCTGCTGTGCACAGGCTCACACATTCACATTGCGTGCACACGCACATCCCGCATTAGCTGAGGGAAGAGCTGCCAGATTTTTAACTCTTCCTATGGGGTCTCAGCTGTGGATCCTAATGGAAAGCTGCATGGCGTGTGTCCCTGCTGGCACACCAGCACGGGGTGCTCCGAGCTGCTCGCCTACCCTGTGCTGCAGGCTGCCCGCTACAGCGCGGCTCTGGCTGTAATGCAAGCTGACATCTCCGGTGCGCTACATGTTTAAAGCACTGCACAGTGCTCATTCCTTAATGCACCTCCACTCGTGTAGCAGACAGGAACACACAGCAAGCCACACGAGGTGCCTGGCACAGAGCAACCAGCCGTGCCAGGGCCTGGGCTGGGAGCGTGGCTGAGTGTATCAGTGCATGCCTTGGTGGCGGGTGTGGAAGCGGCCCCGTTTGGGATGGCTTTTAGTCAGGTTGTAATGACTTCCAACTCGGGAGAGAGACTTTGGGCTGTGAAGAATGCTGCAGATACACCATTAGCAGTTCTTCACCTGCTGCTGCTGCTTTGGCTTTAGATTATTTTGGACAGGAAATCTTGGGGATGAAATGAATATAAAACCAGACACGTTTATACTTTGGGCGCAGCATTTCCCATGCACAGATGCTTTATCCCAACAGCATTTTCAGCACGGCTCTCAGTGACATTACAGGAACGGCATTCCCGTCCTTCCAAGCGAAGCACGGTGCGGACTCCTCGCACAACCGCGTTCGGACCCTCCAGCCCTCCTTCGGCGCTCGTGGCGGCCGCCAGCTGCTCCGCGCGGAGCTGCCCTTCCCCGCCGCGGGAACGAGCCCAAGGTCGAAGCCCCGCGGCGGCCGCTCGCGACCGCACGGCCGCCTTCTCCTCCACCCGCAGCACGCGGCCCCGCGCCCGCAGCGCTCCCCACGCGCCCTCTCCGGGCTGCGGAGCCCCGCGCCCGCCGCCCCTCCCGCACGCGGCCGCGGTGACGCCACGCGACGGCGAGGGGCGGGAAGGATGGGGGGCGGAGGGGGGGGTCTCGCGGTCGCGCTTCCCGCCGGCTGCCGCCGCGCGCGCCCACGAGCACGGCCGCCCCCCCCCCCCCCCCCCGCCTCCGCGGGGCGGTTGGTGACGTCAGCGGTCGCCGAGGAACGGGGCGCAGGTGCATCCGTTTCCTCGGGGCCGGCGGCGCCGCGCGCCTCCCGCCGCCGTCCGCGGTGCGGAGCGGGAGGGGTCGTCCCCGCGCAGAGCCGTTCCGAGAGGGCGGTGCGGGAACCCCTCGCCCCGCGGCGTCCCCGACGGGCGGCGAGGCGGCGGCAGAGAGCCGCGACGGGGCGGCCGCGAGCGGCGGGCTCGGATCGCTAGGGGGAGGCACGGCACCGGGACACGGGGCAGAGCGAGGCGCGGCGGCCCCCGCTGCCCGCGGGGAGGGGAGAGCGTAGGGCCGAGGCGCCCCGTCACCGGCGGCCGTGCCGCGCCCCCCGCCCCGGTTTTGCTTTCCCTTTCGGTGCCGCCTCTCCGTCGCAACGTTTTTATTTATTTATTTATTTTCCCAGAGGGTGGGGACGAGGGGAGGGGAGAGCCGAGCCGCGGGGACGAGCCGCCTGGCGGGGAGGAGGCTGCAGCCCCGTCACGAGAGGCGGCGGCGGGGAGGAGAAGCCGGCGCGGAGCCTCGCCTCGCCTCGCCTCGCCTCGCCTCGCCTCGCCCACCGCGCAGCCCCTCCGCCGCCTCGCCTCCCCTGGCCGCCGGAGGCACCGGCGGCCGCCCGTCCCCATGATGGCCTCAACCGCCACCTGCACCAGGTTCACCGACGAGTACCAGCTCTTCGAGGAGCTCGGGAAGTAAGTACGCAGCCCGCCGGGCGCGGGGCAGCCGCTTCGGGGCCGGGGGCGGGGGGCGGGGGGCAGGGAAGGACCGAGAGTCGGGGAAGAGGGGGCTCGGTCCCCGCGGGCAGGGGGGCGCGGGGCGACGCCTCCAGCTCTGCCTCGTCCCCGGGCGTTGCTTCAAGGGTGAGAGTCGGTCCGTACGCCCGCCCGACCCCGCGGGTGCGTACGGCTCCGGGTGGCTGCGATCCTCGGGGGTGCCGGCGGGCTCCGGGCGGTGGGGGGCTGCGCCGCTATGGGCCGCCGACAGCGGGCGGCGCGTCGGGCGCCCCCCTGCGGCGGGGCGCGTACCCCCGATCGCCATGTTGGCACGGGCGCTGCGAGCGGGACCCGCTGCCGCGCCGCCCTCGGCGTGTGCCGCCCCGGGGCCGTAACGTGCCGCTTTGCTTCCCGCCGCGCGGCTGCGGTGTACGCCGGCCGAGGGTTTCGGTCGCGCGGCTCGAACCAGCGGCTCTGAGCAGCGTTTTGCTGTTGCAAAGAATCAAATCGACGTTGACCGTCTCTGAAAAGCCTCCCTTCTTCCTGCAATTTTTTTTTCTTAATATTCTGCCCCCTCCCCCCCCTCCCCTTAATTCTTTGGGCATCGCGCCGCTCCCTGAGATGAGTGGCAGCGCGGTGGTAATGGCAGGGAGCTGTTCGGGTGACACTGACGCTCTGTCCCCCTCTTGGCTTGCAGAGGGGCGTTCTCGGTCGTGAGGCGATGTATGAAAATCACCACAGGACAGGAGTATGCTGCCAAAATCATCAACACCAAAAAGCTCTCGGCCAGGGGTGGGTATATTCCAACCGAGTGTTTACGATGTCTTCTCCTCATTTCTTGCATTCTTGTGGCGAGCGTTAAAACGGAATGCAAAATAATAATTATTTATTAAGGTTATTAATTTTCTCAGTAGGCTTTTCTTTGTTTCCTTTCAGGCTGTGGTTATTTTTTATGTAAATGTTTCAGAGGTTAACTGTATGGAAGTCTGTGACTGTTGCTATACTGTGCTTAAAGGGAAGCTTTATGAAGTGAGTGCATCCTCTTCCCGTTTTCGTATTGGAAAAAAATTTAAACGTCAACCTGGAAAGGATTTTGCAAACTGATTTTCCCAGCCTTCCCCTAAAAATAAGTTGACAGTGCAGCTTTTATCATAAATGTGTGTCTACACTTATCTGAATTCAAAGTTTCCACCGCATTTAAACTTAAATGTGAAAATGAAGGCCTAATTTGAATCCGTGGAGAAGAGTGTAATGCACTATCCTGTACGGAACTTTGCGATGAGAACCCGGGGAAAGGAAATTTCCCTTTTTTGAAGTATCCGTTTGTGAACCCAGGTCATTCTGAACGATACACTGTGTCGCTGCTACAGCCCTGCAGCAATGCCTGCTGCACCACATGCTGTAATGTGTTTGTTTCCCTTATGTTCTGGCTGTCAGTGGTAAGTCTTTGTGATACATTTGGGCAATCACGTGTGTGCTGTAGGTTACTGCTGTTGGAAGCAAGCCTCAATGGAGATATGTCAATTCCTTGTTAAATCCACGTCAGAGTGATTGTAGAAGGATGTCGGGGATTAGGGATTATTCTCTGTTAACATCGCTTGTGTTTTGATGTGAGTTGGTGATATAGTGAAGAATGTGGAAGTGAATAAGCAAGAGGTGTCAGCTCTAAACATGTCTTTAAGGTCTGGTTTGCTTTCAGCACAAATCATTGCAGGTAGACAGCAGTCTGGATTAATTCATTAAATTTACACCTAAAATACTTCCTGCAACACTAGGGCATATTCTGATAACTTGCTGTTCTCTGCTAGAGATCTTTCACCACTTCTGTACTTCAAAATACCTCTTTGTAGAGTGACAGATTTAAAAGAAGAGGGATTAGGAAAGAACTAATACTTGAGATAAATAATGTCACAATTTTGCTAAAATCAAATTTTCCTTGTTTCTTTTGTCAGTGCAGTGACATGACCTGTTGAATTTTGATGGTTAAAACAAACCTCCGCATAGTTATATAAATCTAGTACCTTTCAGGTTGAGAAGCTGTAGCAAGATAATGGTCAGATTACTTGTTTGCTCTAGTTTTTACATATAATGGGATAACATCTTGAAAGGTAGGCTAAATTAATATAAATATTAAGTCTTCCTTAGAAGCCATCATTTGAGATGTGCTATTTTTCAGGTTTTCATTTTTGAGTTTCCTTGACTGTTCAGGCAGGGCTGAGTTGGTTCTCAGTGTAGCCCGCTCATGAGCCCAAGGCTGCTGGGAAGAATTTGGCTGATAAGGTGGAATATGGCAAAACTCACGCAAATAAAAATTTCTGTTGCTTTAACATGTAAGCCCATAAAGCAAGGAGTTGGGTTTTCT